AAGTCACCTTTTGCAGAAACTTCATTGTACAGCTCTTTCAAAGTAGGAGTGAATCTTCTGCAAGGTGGGCACCAAGATGCTGAAAAATATAACCCAACTTTCTTCCCCTTCAAGCTCTCAATTTTAACCTGAAAAAAGAAGTGATGATGACGACATGAATTTTGTTTCTTAAAAAGCAAAAAACCTTTTTTATGTGCATGATCATGGAGGTTTGCCGAACAAAAAAGAATACGGCCGGCATAAATAAACATGTGAAATAATAATGCCTAGCTATTAGCTATCTTTCACAATGGAACAGTATATTTATGAGAGATTCTGCCAGAGTTCATATATACTCAAAAAATCATTTCGAGCTTTATTTTTTTGATTTAGCAGCAGAGTATAAATCTCATACTTATATCGAAAACCCCAAAGAACAAGCTGATCCATCACAATTCACATGTTTCGTGTATCGAACATGGTTGAAACAACAGAAAAACAGTGATCGAATCATGTTCAATCGGAAGACCGAGTCTAGTATGGGAAGGCTGTTGACCAAAAACTTCAGAGGTACTAGTATATCATACAGAGTCATGAAGAAACACACACAGACTTCGAGTTTTCCAAAGTGTTTGATAATTTTCCGGGAAAATGAAAGCAGAAATCGCATCAAATGATTAAATGAAAGGACCAAATGAGCTACCTGATCGCCATTGTTTCGAACCAGATAGTCCCTCTCTGAAGAAGACAAGATAGATTGAATATCGTGGGCGACGTTTTCAACGCCAGCCATTTTTCTCGGTCTGTAAAACATCGGACGTGGTATTATTAGCATTGGCACGCAACTGAGAAAGTAACTTTTTTTGGACAAGGAGTTTCGCAATCAATAATGGCTATTTATAGGGAAAGAAAATCTATCTTTTTCCCACTCTTTCTGGAATGATTCTTCGTCAGTGTGATTCCAGAAACATAATTAAGCATTTCTCTCTTTTCCCCTTGAACGTCGCAGCTGGCCCACGTTGTTCATATATGTGCGACCATGAAACGCGGCGCCGGTAACAACTAGAAGGGGACAGTTTGAACAGAGGATCACGCGATGGATATAATTTAAAATCTGATCCGATAATATGTTTTGAAATTTTATAATAGGACCAAATCATTGAGGATATGATATTATGTTTTGGTAGTCGATTACTAAATTATCCTTCTATAATTTGAAAAATTTCATCTTTCATTATCATCATCTGTAAGTAAACTTTGTTGCTTTAATAACTTCTACTTATCAATATACTACATCCGATCTTTAATATAAAAGCTGGTTAAAGGTTTAATTTACTTCTAAATATAATACTTCAATTTACTTTGTTTTTAATATTTATCTATTTCTCTCCAAATAATCACTATAATGATTGCACATATTAAGAAATTTTTAATCAAGGGCACCTTCAATATACATGATATTAATAAAGATATTTTAGAAAAGTCAATGCACATTTCTTACAATTAATCAACTTAATTATTTTTTTAATTTTTTTAAATCAGTCATCTAGCATTCTAGTTCTTATATTAAGAACTAAAAGTTATATTAAAGAAAACTTGTCAACAAAATTTAATATATAGATATTAATAAAGATATTCTAGAAAAGTCAACGCTTATTTTTTTTATGAAGTGTGCTTATTAAAATAACAAGTTACTAATACTTGTCAATTTATTTGAAAGAACTTGTCGATTTAATATGTAGAATGTAGCAAGTCTTTATTTTTGATAAGTGTGTTTGTGAAAATGAAAAGTTCAACATGAAGAGCGTGAGTCTATTAAAAAAGAAGTGGTAAGTAAAACTTACTAGAATGAAATTTCTAATTAAAGTTTTAACGGGGCAATCGTGGGGGAGGATGAAAACTAGTAATTAATGAGTTAGTTGATAACTTATATTTATAATTAAAAATTATTGAAAAAAGGTATTATGAGATCTCAAAGAGGATATTTAATTATCAAAAAGTCTCAATGACAAGCTAACAGTTTAAAATTTTGTTTTCATTTTTTATGTTGAAACTTGTTATTACATACTTTTTAGTTGTTAACGGAATATTGGGTAATTAAATCCCTTCATTAGTATCTAATAATAAGCCCCACAAAATTATTTCTAGAAGAGGAAACATCTCTCTTTCATCTAAATGCTCCCTAACTGAAATACAATAAAATGAGGACTATTACCATTTTGATCCTAAATGTAAATCATTTGTAATGCAGATTATAAAATCGCACTTACTTTTGTATTAAGAATGGAAGGAGTAATGCTTTTGGTGAGCACATTTTAGTGTTTAAAATCTGCTACTTTTGTGCAAGACAAAATAACGGCTTTTCAGTTTCACATGACAATAGTATTTTGATCCATATGTTTTTGCCATTTTCGGTTCTTTAATATAAAATCGCACTTATTTTTAAATTCAACTAGCATACTCGTCGTTGAAACTTGGTAATATTTTTACATCAAATCATTAAATATAAATAATCAATGAAATAAAATATAGAAGCGATTGTTATGGCACTTATAATTAATTAGTTCCATGGAGGCATCGACAACTTCCATTGGTTGTTCTTAGTTCATCTTTCCATGTTTATCTATTATTAGCTATTAATTTAGGTCAACAATATTTTGAAACGTGCCATTTATTGATTCCCCACTTATTTGTGTTTTGATTAATGTGTAAGTTCGAATTGTTTAAATCTCATAGAATATCACGTGCACATAAACGACTTTGCCTTTCTAAATTAATGTTTGTAATAATCAATTTTGTTCCAATTAATTTTTTCAAACTGAAACTGGAATCCTTGAATAATGAAAGTTAATTAGTGTAATATGGTTTATATTTAAATAGGATTTTGTTGGCAAAAAATATTTAAATAGAAAAAAAAAGTTAGTTTATGTTAAACTTATTTGAATGATCTAATTGAAAACTTGCCTTCAAAAGGTTCAACTGTGAAAAAAAAAAACTAAAAATCAAAAGTAGAAAAAGCTGATATGTTAATTATAAAATAAAATAAATTGATTTCACATTTTTTAACAAGTAATAATAGTTAATATCTTAAACTTGTTGAAAAAAGCATGACTTCTTAATTTTGCCCTTCACTGACATTAATAATTACAATAGAAATGTTGTCTGGAAATTAAAGTCATGTTGATGCTATATTTCAAGGCCAAAAATTCTTACAATTACATCTTTACCCTATACCCTATATTTAAAATTAAGTAGGATTTTATTATTATTAACTAACAAAGAGACTAGAAAAAGTAATCAACTAATAAATTGACATACTACAACTTCATATTTAAAATATCCTTGTTTTTCTTTCTTTTTTTCAAGGGATGAAAAGGCAAAACAAGGATATTTAAAATATCCTTACTCCCATGCTGCTGATGGCAATTTTGTATCATTGATCAACCTCTGCCCCTGTGCCTAGAGGCAAAATGATAAGAGAGATCAGGTGCAGTCTAATTTTATCCAGCTTTTTTATTTAAAAAATGTTATATATTTGGCAACATTTATTTTGGCTACGAAAGAGAGCTGACACCCAAAATAAACAAAACTAAGTCATAAGAAAGGAGATCCCACGGTGTCCTCAATTGAAATGGCAAGGTCGAAACATAAAAACTGCGGAGTGAAAGAATAATTGGACCTGAGATATTATGAGCCTAAAAATAGCCTTGTCATTTTGCCATTTTAACTCATCCAATGACCCCTGTACATTTAGAATCAAAATAAGATCACAAATCTCTCTATTTAGAAAAGCTGGATGTGGGAAATAATCAAATAAATGTTAGAAGGAACAGAACAGATTTAAACAAAGTTAAACACGAATATTTGCCAAAATTTCCCGATAATTGTACTTTAAGAACTTGAGCAGATTCTACCTTTTCATCAGCGTAAGACTTGGACTAAAAACCGTATATATTAGACTTGCTCTAAAGACCACAACTTGCTCTTTTGAACTTCTTGTGTTGACCATCTATTGTACAAGAATAAAATATGTTTAATCCAAGTAATTGTGGATATTAATTCCATGAATTATACACCCAAGGATTGACAATGACAAATTAAGCAAGAAGAATATTGTTCGATGCCAAAATACATATAAAGGTAAGGTGAAAGAGAATCACTTTGATTATTGATTAGATATATAAGCTTGGAAAGCTGACTATTTGGATCTGTGGCATGAGAGAAGGGAAGGAAATAGAAAAAAATTTTTAATGAGCTAGATTTAAAAAGCGGAGTTATAAAATTTTGATAAAGAGAAGATTAAAATAAAAGAGGGGTTAAAAGTTTTTAATTAATTTTTCTTACTTTTTTTAACTTACATATTCTCTTTAGCAAAATTTTATAACCCCACTTTTTCAATTTTTAAAATCAAGCTCATTAAATTTTTTCCCTCTCTTCCAATTCTCTCATGCCAAATATAAGGTTAAGATAATATAATATTGCACAACTGATATAAATAGCTTAATTATATTAATCCATTTAGTCAGAAATTTTAGCCTTGACAAGACTATTTCAATAAAAGAATTCACTTTTTTTTTTCATTATTCAGGAAGTCATGCATCCACCACAAGAAAATATTTATTTGAAATATGAATTGCAGCAATATAAACATTATGGCCCCAAAAATTAAGCTTATTGCCAGAATTTGAATGAATTATGTTATAAGTTTATAAATGTTAAAAACAAAACAACAAGGACTAAGCGCATTTTCCAGTTGATATTACACTTATACATATTTTTTAGATTGAAATGTACAATACGATTATATGGTAAGGAAAAATTAAAGGAAAAAAACCCTAAAAAAAGTGTGAACATATAAAATTCTAATCCATACAGCTAGCATTTAAAAATGACCGGAAAGAAAATGAGGCCTAAACTGTCATTCTGAAAATATTGTGAAATTATCCATATGCCATTTTGTGACAAAAAAGTTATGAATTTGTCATTTCCTATTCAATACTTGTTATTGCCAATTTAATACTTGTTATTTTTAGTTCACAACTTGTTAATTAACTAAGTAACTAAAATAATGGAGAACAAAAAAATTATGAAACTTATAATTTTCAATTGAATAGTTGTCATTGCTAGTTTAACACTTGTTATTTTTAATCCACAACTTGTTAATTAACTAACTAAACTAACTAAAATGATGGAGGAAAAAGTTATGAAACTTATAATTTTCAACTCAATACTTGTCATTTTCAGCCAGTTCAACACTTGTCATTTTCAATTCACGACTTATTAATTAACTAACTAAAATAATGGAGAACAAAAAAAAAGTTATGAAATTTATTATTTCTAGTTGAACACTTGTTATTACCAATTCAACATTTGTAATTTTCAGTTTCATTAATGTCATCTATATCACAGAAAGGTGTATAGGTAATTTCACAATATTTTTTAAATATGAGTTCAAGCTTCACTTTTTTTCCTATCATTTTAAGTGTTAGGTACTTGAATCAGAATTTTATATATTCATACCTTTTTTTAAGAATTTCCCAAAATTAATATATACATCTATATATATATATATATATATATATATTTGAGACTCATGCCTCCTACCTCTGGATGCTCCCTTTCTCCAACAATGTGCATAAATCTCGAGTTTAATTTGTAAGCGGGCAAAAAATCGGGCTTAATAGTACTCAAATTTGATCATGATAGATAATCATGTAAAAAAGCAATTAAAATGCATGGGGATATAACTAATGGGAGTTGAATCTAGCAAAAAAGGTAATTTTTTTACAACATGGCAAATCAATATTTGAATTCATGTTAGGAAAGAATCTTATATTTAATACCTGACAATATCTCAAATAAAATTATTTTCAATAAAAGGATATCTATTCATAGCAAAAAAAAAATGCATGAAAGTACACTACAAAAAAATATCAAATTAGCGATGAAATTTCTGTCACTAATCAAAATTTGCGACGAATTAGTGACAGAATTAAGTTAGCAACAAAATTTTTTCCGTCACTAATTCTACCATCACTAAATAATAAGGGACGGAATTTTGCTAATTAGTGATGGATTACTGACAGAAACTAGTAAAGAAAATTTTTCGTCACTAATTCGTCGCTAATTAGTGATGGATATCCCACAAAAATTCTATCACAAAATACTGAGGGAATTGTGATGGAAAATTCTGTCACAAATTGATGATAGAAATTTCTGTCACTAAATTTTTTTATTTTGTAAATTTAAAATACTACATGGCAACTATTGATTGCCGCCACGTGTCATGTCTGTGGTTGTCACCTCATCACTAGCTGTCACCTCACATTCTCCTCTCTCCCCTATACAGCCATGTCATCCCCCCATCCATATTATCGCCACGTGTCTATCATTGTGAGCTGTCATATGTCATCAATGGCTGCCACCTCACTAGCTCCCCTCTCTCCTATATTGCCATGTCATCTCTTCATCCATGTCATTGCCACATGTCCATCATTGTGATCCACCATGTCATCACCAGCCACCACCTCAACGCTTCCTCTCTCCCATAACGTCCACGTCATCACCACATGTCAATCATTTTGAGCCGCCACAGGATTGTCTTGTCCACATCATCGCTACGTCACAAATTGGCTCAATTTGTGAAAGAGTGTTAGTTCAAACCTGAGATCTCGTGCCTACATACTGAAGCTTTTGCCAGTTGAGCTAAAAATTACTTGTGAAATTTTTATGCAAAAATATATATAATATTTCTAATAACAAATACAAATATATATAATAAATATTATATATATAATTTAATATATTATTATTTATTTGAATTTAATTTTTATATTTTAGTAAAAAATTGCTAACAATTTATATTTTTATTCAAATATTTAACAAAATAATAAAGTATATTATATATTTTTATTTTTATTTTCTTTTATAATATTTTTATTTTTTAATTTTATATAATATATTATTTAAAAATTATGATATATTATATTTTTATTTTAATAATAATTTTAAAAAATAATTATTATATATTGATATTATATTTTTTGTGACAGATTAGTGATGAAATTGCGATAAAAATTAGTGACGGAAAATTTCCGCCATTAATTTCCGTCATAAAATATTTTGTAATAAGAGTTACTAACAGAATCAACGACGGAATTGTGACACAATTTAGTGACGAAATAAAATTTCGTCACTAATTCTTCACTAATTTAGTGACAGAATAAAATTCTGTCACTAATATGTCGCTAATTTAGCAACAAAATTTTCTGTCATTAAATTCTGTCGCTAATTTTAGTGATGAAATTTATGAGGAATTAGCGACGGAATCATCACTCGTTTCCTATACAATTTGTTTTATAAAATTCCCCTTTCTTTTCACCATGTCTAATTTTTGCAGCACTATATAAAATATTTTTATTACGAAGAAAAACTGAGACTAAATAAATTAATCTTAGATTGTCATTTAAAAGTTTTAGTATGGATAAAGTGAGTTATACATGTCACCTAACTTACAGAAAAAGGACTATAAATGTGGTGGCAAGTAATCAATTTTGCTGGGTTACTCAAAATTCTATAAATTAGGCTCTAAATTTTAGTTTTCAACATTTACAGATTTTATATTTTGATATTTTTATATAATAAAAGTAAGATTATAAAGTTGTATTTCTCGTTTAAGAAATAATTAATTGGAATGTATATATCATGGGGGAAAAAAAAAGAATTAATGGTGGGGAATAGGGCAAGCAAAAAATTCATATTTCATGCGCTTGTGAGGAATCTTTTGTTCCTTCTTGGGGTGTTTTTAGCATTTGTGCTTTTAGTCGCTTCCCTCTGCTGTTACCAAAATAAAAATATATTCCCAAAAAGTTAACAATATACGAACAAAATTGAAAAGAGGTATTGCACACGTGTCAATTTAACTTTCTTCTTTTTTTGTCTTTCCTCCTTATTCATAGCCTTCTCTTTTTTAAAAATAAAAGTTTCAAAATTCTTAATGAACAATATTTTATAGTTATGTGCACACATCATTATTAAAATTATTAAATGCTGCAATAAAATTTCTTCTTCTTTTTTTCTATTGTTTTTGAAAGATTTAAATTTTTACTAAATATAAACACATATACTACCAAGATTATGAGAATTCCAAATTTATCATATTATGAAATATCAGTTTTTTCAAGTAAATTTAACCCCCGAACTTGAGATGTCATCCAAACATGGCAAGTGGCATTACCACTAAGATAGGTTGTTGTTAACATTTTAAACACATATATGAGTAGTATAAATTAAAATTTTTTGGGGACAAAAGTATAAATTAAATCAAAATGGTTGATGTTTAGTATTTTAAGTGGAGCTAGAACAAGGACAATATTCAAAAACTTTTGAGGTGTCGTAACTCATGAAACACAATTGGGAATCTTTGTTGCTTCTTGGAGTGTTCTCGCATTTGTGCTTTTATTCTTCTTTATCCATCAAAATTGGAAAAAAAAAAAAACAATAAAATAATACAATCAACAAAAATGATTTTAAAAAAACACGTGGGCTTGCACTTGTCAATAATCCACAACGTTTCATGGTCCAGTTGGCATTTAAGAACAAGAAGCTAGACAGTTAGGTCCAAACCCATTAATATTAATTAATGTTATGATTAAATTGTGATTAATCTTTCAAATAATTAACACACGGACAGATACCAACTCATCGCTTCTCTCCCACTTTGCTAAAAGGCAAAAAGAGAACCATTAATAAGTAAACCTGATTAAGAATGCACTAATCCCCATCTTAAATTTAATCATGTTATACACACTTTTCTTTATATCTCTTCCTCAAATTATTCATAAACTAGAAACTTGAACTTTTACACAACACGCACACGGAGATACTATTTCAAATTCTATTATTTAATATAAGAGGTATATAACTAATTTGAAAGTGTTAAAAAATTAAAATCAGTTATTTATAATAAATATGTGTTGATTTTTTTAAATTGTGTTCCTTAACCAAGTGCATTATAACTAATTTTTGGTGAAAATATGTCACAATCAGTAAGAATATTTTAGAAAATATTATAAATGTAGGAGACAACGTGGAATGAAATCTTGTACTCCTTCAGTTCTTAATATAAGATCTATTTGACTAATTTGATTAGATTACGAAAGTTAGGTGAGTTACATAATTATACGAAATATGGTATATTTTTCTTAAAACACCATAATCATCTTTCTTAATATCTTTCCTCTTTCTTCTACTTAATTATGGCTGAGAGAATATCCACATAGGTAATATAGAAAAAATTGATAAATATAATAAATAAGTCTTATATTTAGGACCAAAATTAACTCAATAATTAAGTTTTATATTAAGGACCAGAGAAGTATTTAATACCAAATCTAATTCTCAACTAACTTTTATATTAAAAACAAAAAAAAATAGTATATGCAAGTAAGAGTTGTCGATAAGTGAAAAAAAAATTAGTAAAAAACCATTATCAATGTATGAAGCACAGTAAATGACAAATCCTTTCTAACTATATTTACACTATAAATAAGAGTTGAAAATTAATATACCACCTATATATATATATGTGATATAACAGGATATAAACAGTGGAGTTGATTCTACAATACACACCAGGCCACAGCAAATAAAAGTAGATGCTTAGCAATCTTTTTTAAATGCTTGACCCGAAATTGATGAGTATTCTTGCACGCAGAGACTTTGTCAGCTGAAGCAATATATACCAAACCCATAAACCAAAGACCCTAATCTTTCACTTCCCAATTGATTAAACCAAAAATCTCTCTCTCTCTCTCTTCTCTCTAGACCTCTAAGGTAACAACAAACAGAATATATATCTTTACTTGGGGTTGTCGATCTCTTTACAAAAAGAAAGTGCCTCCCTTTAGGTGTGTATTGGATTAATTATTTGAATCCCACATTTGCATTTAACCTCATCTCACAAGGTAAATCAAATCAATCCCACTGTGCATTGCTTCGCCACTTAACCAAAACCCACGTATTTCCCTTTCTCTATCTGCACTCAAAGAACATATCGCTTCTCTAACTTGTTATACTCATCAAATCCCTCCTTCCTCTTCCATCCATCCTCACTACCCACCCCCTTCCCTCTTCTCTTCTCTTGTCTTCTCCTGAAAATAACACCGTTCAGAGAGAAGATGTCCTTTCAAGTTCAGCCACAGGCACAGCCACAGCAGCCAGTTCAGGTGTACCCTGCCACTGTCACCACCCAGCCACCTTCCCATCATTCCAATGGTTCCTTTGGGACTGTTTTCATTGTGCTGGCTGTGATTTTGGTCATTTCTCTTCTTGCTTGCTTTCTCGGCCGCCTCTGCAGCCGCCGCCGCCACCCTGAGAGCTACGGTGGTGGTCATCATGGCCATAAACCATACAAGCAGCAAAACATGAACCAGAACCCGAACCCGAGCCAGAACTACCAGTTCCGACCCCAAGAAGGTGATGTTGAGCTTGGGTTTGACAAGAGGATCCCAACTACCAAACCCAACGGGCACGGTAACGGGCCCGGTCCTGGACTTGGGTATGGATCCCAAGGATCAAAGCCACCTTTCTACGGTGGAAACGGAGGCAACGGTGATGTTAATGGAGAAGAGAAGGGATTTGAGATGAGGAATGGAAGAGAAGGTAGTATGAGAGAGCAGGGGCATGGGCCTCGGCCTGGACTTGGGTATGGAGGCCGAGGTCCGAGGCCACTTGTCTATGGCGGCGGCAGAGGAGGCAACGGTGGTGCTGGTGGCGGTGAAGAGAGGGGTTTTGAGATGAAGAACGGCGGAGAAAGAAGTATGAGAGAGCAGGGGCATGGGCATGACGCTCCTTACAAGTTTACCTTGTGAATATAACACAACCGTTCCTATTATAGTATTGGCTTTCTCTTTTAAGCATTTTAATTCTTTACTTTTTTCTAGTGTTTTAGATACAGATGGTTTGGATTCTCTTTAAATGAAATGGTTCTAACCTGTTAAAATATACATAGAACAGGCCCTTTTTATGTATATTTAAAGAGGTTGGGACCAGAAAATGTAAAGAGAAACTCAATCAAAAGTCTACGAATTATATAATTGTATATGGTGTGATATGATGACATGATGTATTGTGTGTTTTGGCTTTGTGTTCTATACATATGAATAGAAATCAATTTCATTGATTCGATAAAGAAGATGATGTTTAGTTATTTAGGTAATATTATGGGATATGATACTTTTCTTATCCTAAATGTAAAATTTATTTGGTAGTGTAAATTATATTATAAAATAAGTGTCTTAAATTTACGACCAGAAGAGTAATATTTTATAAGACTGTTGATACAGATACCTTTAATGAAAATAATATAATGTAAGGTTTATTATTTAAATTAAAGTGTATGAACAACTTTACTCTTTAAGGAAATTAATGCAAGTATTCATATTGTCTCTTTCTTTTGGAAGGCATCTGTAGAATAATGAAATGTGATGTAAGATGATTTGTTTTAATTTGCTTCATTGACGATGGAGACCTAAATGAGTTTACATTAAGAAATAAGATTAGCTAAATGATTAAAGTGACATGTGAATTGAGATTCCGAGTTCAGATAAAGAAAAATATGGATACATACATGTACACACAAGACTAGTTTAAACATGCAACATGCCCAATTTTTTGTTTTATTTACTTTTTCTTTCAATCATTAACGAAGAACGTTCAAGCATGTTAGGATTTTTCATGCACCATCTTATTATAAGTGTGAGAACTAAATATTTAATTCATATATATATATTAAAAAAATTAGTTATTTATAATAAATGTACGGTGATTTTTTAAAATATTTTTAATCTCATTAGAAACTAATTTTATTGATGAAAACTCCCCCTTTTAATTAATGGGGATGGTTTGCAGGGAGAAATCATAAATTTAAAAAAGAAAATAGGTTGATACTACCTCCAGTTCTAAATATAAGATTTAGTTAGATATTTAATTTGATTATAAACATAATATTCCAATTCACTTTATTTTTATATTTATCTATTTTTTTCAATAATTTTTAGAGTAAGTGTAAGAATAGTTTTAATACATATAATTAACTAAATATTTAAAAAAATATCACTTATTTATTATAAATAATCAGTTATTTATTTTTTAATATTTACAAATCAGTTACAGCTCAGCTAATTTTGAGGTTTGGAAATGAAGGCGGTACTAATAATAACGAGATGAAACCTCACGCCGCTTAACAATTATTCTCTTTTCCCTGACAAAGATTATATAACGGCAGTCCTACGATCCTCACAAGGCATTCGCTCTGGGGTTTTCGAGAATATATGCCGTACCCTTCCTCCCCTGTACGACCAGCATTCCTCAAAACACAAGTGGAAATCGAAATATGAATCATAAAAGAGGCCAACAGGGAAGGGGGGGGGGGACAAGAACATGTACACACGCATATATGCAGTGAATTATTCCCTCCAAACAATCAAATCCCATGTGACACATGACGCTTTGATTTTACGGATTGGACTAACCATGAATTAATATAGACACAAACATATTAATTAAAAGGGTGATTTTTCTAAATTTTGTCATGTTCAAAGGCTTCCACCGACGGTATATCCCAGCTTTTCCCCCTCGCTTCATGAGGGTATCATACAAATAGATTTATTTTCATTGAAAGTAAAAGGGGCAAAAAAAAAAAAAAAAGAATATGGGAGTGTGAATGATCTTGATCTGTTAAGGGTTGCTTTCGCTGCTGCTTCTGGAGTGAGCAGCATTTTGGACATTAGGAGCAAAAAAAGAGTAAGAGAGTCAAAAACTGCTTTCTGGGTTGTAAGAGCAAGATTCCCTCTGCAAAAGATATGATTCTGATTAGAATGATACAATTACAGCATACCCTTTTCTTTCACCATCCAAATATTGCAAAGGACAAATTGGTTAGCCTTGTCGTGTACCATGTGCTTCAAATTGCTCCCACATTACACAAACACTGATCTATATATATATATATATATATATGTAGAGAGAGAGAGAGAGAGAGCACAAAAATGAAGCATCTTTTTCCCTTCTCCATCACAGAACAAAACCTCAAAAAGCTAACTTCACAGAAAGCAAATTTGCAGTATTAAGAGGAGACACAGAAATGCCAGGCTTGGAGGCAGCAGCAGTGGAGGGATTCAGAACCTTGACTGAGACTAAAGCTTGGGACTATGTTGTAGTATGGAAGTATGGCGATGATCCAACAAGGTAAATAATACTACCAGGAAAAAGGTGAAACAAACCCATTTCTTAAATCAGTCTATCCGATGGAAAAATCTGATCTTTCTTCTTCTTCTTCTTCTTGTTCTTCTCTAGATTTATTGAGTGGATGGGCTGCTGTTGTGTTGGGGGATGTAATGGAGGCAAGAACGAAGAGGAAAAGGAGGAAGAACATAGACTGGGTCGTAGATGTAGGGATAGTCACTATCAGCATCCAGTGAGAACCAAGGCTTGTGAGGCCCTTGCTCTGCTTCCTTATACAATGCCACTTTATTCTGGGTATAATAACTATTTCTGAAATTTTGATTCGGGTTTGCTTATACTTTACACAAAGGAAATTAAAATCACTAACAGGATAGTAATTTGATCTAGTGTTCATGGAGACGTGGCAATATCAAAACAACCTCAATGGCTTTCCCAGGTAATGAAAGTTTATTCCTAAGAGTAAGATGTTGACCCAAGTAGTAGATCACCTGTTTGATTTTCTTCCTCCGTAAATGACATAAATCTATTCTTTTTCATTTTCCATTTATATTTCCTCTCAAAATTGCCAGACTGGTGAAAGTTAAAACTTTCTTGGCTTATAAATAGTGAATTTTTTATTGGTTTTATATAATATATATATTCATATATCATATAAAATCTGAAAAAGCAATACAATGACAGGATTCAACAGGAACGCAAGTTTTGATCCCTATTATTGGTGGTATTATAGAGCTCTTCTCAGCAGAGACTGTAAGATCTATGAATCTTTATACTTACCTTTCATCATCTCTATCTGAAAGTTCCAAGTTTACGCAATTAAACCTTCATGTTTCACAGGTACCAAAAGATTCAAGGATCATAGAGTTGATAACTGCACGTTGCTGTCTCCCTATGAAAAATGAAGCCATTTCTGAACATCCACCGTTAGATTCATGCTACCCACAAAGCTTAATTTCTAGCATACACACATCTGCAGTAGAGCAGTGCATCTCTCACCCAAGCATTGAAGGATCCTCCAGTGGATCATATCCTTCAAATGAAACTCCAAAAGAACATCAAAGAGGTTTGGATTTCCAGTGCGGCACTCTGGAAGAAGATAAACCAGAGTTGGTCAGAAGACCTCAAAGGGAATTCTATACATCTAAAAATCTTGTCACAGAGAGGAATAGGAGGAGCAGGATAAAAGATGGGCTTTATGCTCTACGAGCTTTGGTCCCAAAGATAACCAAGGTACAGAGATGATTATGCGACCCTGTGTGTGTGTGTGTGTGTGTGTGTGACAGATTATTGAATCTCCTTCATCTTGTTCAGTATTGAATCTGCTGATTTATTTCTGGCAGATGGATAGGGCATCCATTGTTGGAGATGCCATTGATTATATAAAGGAACTGCAAGAACAAGAAAAAGGACTTAGACACAAGATCACAGCTTTGGAAGAAGAGGATCATAGAAAGAACAAACCACAGTGGAGGAGGCCAATATTGAAGGAACAAAGAGGAACCAGAAGTTTGCATCTTGATGAGCCCATCCAAAATTCCTCTGATTCCACAAAAAGGACCCAGATGGAGGTAGAAAAAGAGAGTAATAGAATGAACTCTGCTTCACAATTTTTCAAAGCCATGAATGAAACTACATATTAGAGACTGAAATTTTTTCTAGCATGTTTTCAGGTGCAGGTTGAAGTGAACCAGATTGGGAAGAGAGAGTTTCTTGTGAAGATACAATGTGAGAAGAAGAGAGGAGGGTTTGCAAGATTGATGGAGACTATCCATTTGTTTGGACTGCAGGTAACTGATGCCAATGTGAACGCTTTCGGTGGCGAAGTAGTGAATATTCTGACTGTTAAGGTAAGGGTCTAAGAAATCAAAGCCAACAGTAATTAGTAAATATTATGCTTTTTTGATCAAAAGATAGGGTGTTTAGACAGTTAATCACACATTGGGACTTTTTTTGTTCCATACACAGGCAAATAAGCTTGATATTCACCCAGACATTTTGAGAGATTATTTAACTAAGCAAGCTGGTTCTCAAGAAAGAGGAGTTGATGTTGAGTTCACGAAGGCTTAAGAGATCCTTTAAACAATTGTGAAAGTTTAGTTTCAGATAGTTAACAACTAGTTACTTATCTGTAAATCACCGGACATGCTACAGTTTAATGAAAAATGTTGAAATCAAAGCATGTGGAAGCAACTGTGAATTTTGTTATGACGGAGTTGGGTAATAGCTTACAAGTAGTCTATTAGTTTCATGAAGAAAGATCATATGAAACTAACATGACTTCCAGACCTTTCTCTATTTTGGAATATAACAGCAAGATTACAAAATGATTAATCAGCCCGACCTAGCATCATATCATAAGGTCGATGTAATTCAGGAGGTCTCATTAAATGAATGAGATATCTAATGATACAAGTAATAAATAGATAACCTCAACAAGTTTGCCTTTTTACAAGCCTTTGAACATCCCCAGTATTTGATAAAATAAAATAAAAAATGGGGGAAATAAAGTTGATGAAACTGAGGACAGAGGCAAATGATGGTTCGACGGTCAATCTAACGTCCCATTTGGCCACCTTTTTTTTTCTTCCGGGTGAAGAAAATGCTTTTCCAAACCCAAAAATTAAGTGCTCCAGGAGAATGTGAAAACCATGGCATTTGGATAAAGCACAAGAAGAGTTTCAGCATTTTCAGCATTCTGAGTGCTGCTAACATCCGTTTCCTCGTATGAGTATGCCCAGTGTTGCTACTATGCGCGTGCCCTCATATTTGGCCCTACTAACTACTAAGTCCTTCTACTTGCATTGAAAGCCCGGCACTCTGACTCCCCGCTTGAAGTGCCCTTGAGCCATGAATGTTGTTGTCCAGAAAGCTCTACTGAAGAACAGCAATCTCCACTGTCCCTATCAAATTCAGATTCACTACAGCTGTCAATGGCCATCTTCCTGAACTTCATAATAGCGTCTTCACTATAGTGGCCATCATCATAAATGGTGCTCTGACCATATTTAACCCCATTTGATAAATCACATGATTCATCTTGACTATCCAATGCTCTTACCACCTGATAAGAAAATAGATAAGCTTAGTTTGACATAGAAATACTGGACAATTAAGTAATTGTGTCAAAAACAGTTAATGTGTACCAAAAGTTTCGGTTTCTTGGTATTACCTGAACCATACGAGGCCGTTTTGGAGCAGAATGGCGAACACATGCTGCAGCAGCTTCAATCATTCTGCACATCTCGCTCTCCACAAATTGCTTGTTAAGCCTTTCGTCCTCTAATTCGCTGAAGTCTCGGGTCTCAATAGCACGATGAAGAAGGGGACGAGCCTGCATATAGTGGCAGGGTATGTTAATCTGGACTAAAAGAAAACACAACTGCTTCCGGAAGTTGAATGTGTTGTATTATAAAAAAAAAACTCTCAAATTGATTCCTTTGGTGCAAGAAACTCCGGAATGATATATTGGGTTAAATGCAATATGGGAAAATTGTAATTTCTAAACAATAGTAAGAATGATGGACACGTCTGTGGGTTGCTAGACCCTTCCTATTGCTCCTCAAAAGCAAAATTTAAGACGGTACCTAGATTTTTAGTTGGTCTCCTGAATATAAATTCTACAAAAAGGGAAAGATTACTTGGATATATTTCTGATGCCTTAAAATTGAATCAACAGAAATATATATTCTTTTTTTTTTTACTAATTACGCATGATCTACTTGGAGAGTGGATTTGAAGGTGTTTCCTTGAACATATGTACAAATAATAGCATCAGTTTGTCTCTAGTCATGAACAAAGCATCGCCTACATCGATTTTTTTTTTTTTTTGACCAGACGCCTATATCGAAATTGAAACACCGTTCCTAGAGGAAATAAGCTTGTGTTAATGGCCGTATTATGTGTTACTCTTTGCTTCTTCTGTTCACACAACTAATATGCCCTAGAACCAAATAAACACAATTCCAGGACAATAATTTTAAAAAGACATTATTTTATACGTTATTTACGATCCAGAAGATTTCATTTTCATTCAAATGGATAGCAGAGAGACAGGAACAAAGAAGAGGAAAACAAAAATTTCGAAGTTTACTTGATAAATTAAATACAAGGTTCCTGCATACCCACTCAACCAAACTTTCTTCTCCCACGGGCCGCGTCTGATCGACAGGTTTCCTCCCTGTTATGAGTTCAAGGAGGACAACTCCGAAGGAGAAAACATCTGATCTATCGGTCAATTTTCCGCTTGTTGCATACTCTGGAGCCATGTACCTGTGAAGTGAAGGAGAAAACATCAAATCTATCCGGCAGCATTCCACTTGTTGCATGTTTTGGTGTTACTAAAGTACATTTTCTATGCATTATATCCCTTCACAGATAAGAAATTTAATCATAAAATACACCTTAAAGGCAGTTTCAAAACCCTTAAAAGACAAGCCAACTTATTGAAGTCTACCTGACTTCTACAGTGAAAGTGATGAATTAATTAATTGTGAATTTGTGATCATAAATCTAACTGGCAGATGAATACTGAGTAATGAACATCTCCAGAACCCATGCTAAATAAAGTCCACCAATTGTTTTTCATATCATCATAAATAAGGGGAGCTTTTTCTTTCTATTGTCCTGGAAGGTATTTCCTAATGAAAGCTAGTGCCAGAATTTACAGCTTTATGTTGAGACAAATAAAACCTACCCAAAAGTCCCCATAACCCGAGTTGATACGTGCGTGTTATCATCGTCATGTAGCCTAGCAAGTCCAAAGTCTGCAACCTGTGTTAAAAGAACATCAAACTAGAATACAGAGCAGCACATTTTTGGTAAAAAATAAAGGTATTCACTAACATACCTGTGCCTCAAACGCATTATCCAAAAGTATGTTTGCCGACTTAATATCTCTGTGGATAATTTTTGGGTTGCCTGGAAATAGATCAGATATTTATCAGCTCCAAAAAGCTCGCAGTTGCCATGGGCAAGGAAAAAAATTCACGTAACAGGAAAGATTAGCGATCATTTAACTTGTGCGTGGAATACATATGCATAGCAAAGCCAATTTCTATGTGCTCTTTTTTAATTAAATAAAAGGTTAACGTAATTTTTAATCCATCATGTTTATTCTCATTTTAGTTTTTACCTCTCAAGTTTCAAATCATAGGTTTTGGTTCCTCAGGTTGCTTTTCACTTAAAACATTAGTTCCTATAATTCAATGGAACCAAAAGTTATGATTTGAAACTTGAACAAACTTGAGGGATTAAAGATTATATTAATCCCTTAAATAAACAATGAACACGAAGGTGGTCTTATAGTTGATGAAAAATATGGAGAGAAGATATAAAGCGATTCAACAATGAACTCCTGAAACGTAAAATGAACTTTTTAAAATACTAAACCTTAAAGGAAAGTCATTTTTGTACGACAGAATACCAGTATAAAATTGCAAATCTATTAATGCTTACATATTTCTGCAAATGTCATCAAACATCGTGCACAACTAAGAGATAATATTGCTGTATTCAAGGTATCAAATTGTTTGCTTTCAGACATTACAAATTCATAAAATTATAATTGTTTACAGTCAGGCACGTGTGTGTGTGTGTGTGTGTGTGATTGTTTACAGGGATAAGTTTTTTGTGTTAGTTGACGTCCAGCGGGAAAAAAAAAATCAGCAGATGGAGAGAAGTTTCCCAAGTCTTAAAGGCATAAATAGTCGTTATAATGAAATGGCAATGTATAAAAACATCCTTACAGTCTTCATGCAAATATGCTAAGCCTTTTGCAGAGCCAATTGCAATCTTCATCCTCTTCTCCCAATCTAAGACTTTCACTCCTCTGGCTGTCAGTAGATAAAAATAATCCAGAAATGAGAATCAAGCTATAGATAGAAGAAACATAAAAAAGTTCTACGGAGTAGACAAGAAAGAAAAAAGGGAACTCACATTACCATGCAAGTGATATTCAAGAGTTTTATTGGGAAGGAACTCATAGATAAGCACTCTTCGGTGATCAGCTATGCAATAGCCAACTAATGATACCAAATGCCGATGATGAACTCGGCTTATAATTTCAACCTCTGCCCTAAATTCCCGTTCACCCTGGCCGCTGCCAGCCTTAAGCTGCTTCACGGCAACTTCTTTTCCATCTGAAAGCCAACCCTTGTACACACGACCAAATCCCCCCTCCCCTATAATATTTTCACTAGAAAATCTCTGAGTTATCTCCGTGATCTGCTCATAGCTAAAAGATATCTGACCATTATTCCAGGGCGAGTCTGGACTCGCAAAATGTTGCACAGCTTCTGCTTGATTCCCACTTTTACTGCTGGGAGAAGTTGGAGCTTGGGAAGTATAAAAACCCTCTTGTGCATAATTCGCTTTCCCAGGCTGCTGGGCATAGTAAAACCCTTCCCTACCTGATGACCAAAACCTTTAGATAATAAGTGCTGAAGAGCGAAGACCATTTCATCTCCAATCTCAAAAGGTGAAGTAAAAGCTTGTGAACAGTGAACAATTTCAAACACCTCTCTTCAAACAAAAAATTAATTGAAACTGAATGTAAACAAAACAAATTTTAACCCAAAATCTGTTAAACAAAAGATCATGAATAATGTTATTATAATCTTCAGGTGTCAAACGAAGCACAGGAGAGTAGTAGCTTGCCGCAAACCTAATACCTGGTTTCTTATATAAGGTATTGGCAGCGTCATAATGTGTAGCATGGGCCACTTTTTGTTTTTTCTTCCTCTTTACCACGAAAACAATCAACACCGCGAGCAGGATAAAACCGAGAACTCCGGCCACAGCATAACCAATGTAATTGTCTGAACTACCACTGCTGCTGCTACTTGTTGACGACGAGAGAGACATGGATCCACTCGAAGAACCGCTTGAGCTTGTGGTGGAAGGTGAGTGCGGCAGCGGAGGAGGGCTCCACGTCCTTGGCGGCGGAGCAGAGCTAGGTGTATTTGGTGAGCCAGTGGCAACTGAAGGGGAAACAGTACTTGAAGGAGGTGGTGATGCGTTGCCGGTAGCTGATGAATTATTTGGGGGTCCCGGTGTCAGTGGTGCAGACGAGTTCTGCGATAAAGGCGGAGATGAAGGTGGAGTTGGATGTGCGGATGGAGGCGGAGAAGATTGATCAGGTGGAGGTGGGGATTGTGATGGTGGTGGAGGTGACGGTGACGGTGACGGTGACTTTGGGGGAGGAGACGACGGTGGTGGAGACCGTTGAGGAGGAGGAGGAGACGATGGCGGTGGTGACCGAGATGATGGCGGCGGTGACCGTTTAGGAGGAGGAGACGATGGTGGAGGTGGCGAAGATTGTGGTGGTGATGGAGGCGGTGACGATGGAGGGGGCGAAGAAGAGGGTGGCGGTCGTGATGGAGGCGGGCTTGATGAAGGCGGTGGAGAACTCGTCGGAGGAGGCGGAGAACCCGACGGAGGCGAGGTCGATGGAGAAATTTGTGGCGTAGAATCCGTACTATTGGACGAGGAGGGAGAATCAGGCGATGAAGCCGTATTCTCGGTGGACAATTTAAAAGAAAACGATATCCCACTTGATTTCGAGTCAGAATCGACGTTGGAGCTTCGTGAAGCCATTTCTGATTCTGAGATCAGAAATTTCCCAACGCGATTCCGAGAACGACCGGCCAATCTAAACCTACCTCGATTCGGCATTCATTCCAAAGAAAAGCAAACGGGTGTGAAAATAAAGATACCAAAAAACAAAACAAAAACAGAGAAGTGTATTCCAATAAAAACAGTTTCCGGAGAGCCAAACTTTGGTTTTCCAAATGAAAACAGAAAGAACAACAAAAACAGAGCAGAAAACTAACAAGGTGGCTGGAAAAGCAACTGGAATTGTGAAAACGAGAAGCCATCTGGGCAAAGTAATTGAAGCATAGGCCCCGAAAAATTCTCGCGTTTCTAATTATAAGAAGAAGATAGTAAGGCTGTTTGTTTTCATAATTTTGGCGCGTTTTTTAATTTGTTTCTTCTCTTCCAGTCGCTCTGTGAAGTGTGAAGCAAGCCAGGTGGTCGCTCTTGCTTGCTCTGTTTCACTCCTTAACTTTCGGGTTACCGCGCAAAGTGCACCGGGTCGAGCTCCCCCACTGCAAGTTTATAACCGCACAGGATCCGACCCGTCAGATCGCGCTCATAATCGGTGGGAATTCATAACTATGCTTGTGAACTGATTTTTTTTAAAAAAAAAAATTAATCTTTTAATCCTTCAACTATTGACTCATTTATAATTCATTTTTTTAATTATAATTCAGTACGACTCTGTTTCTTAACTTTTAACTTTTTTATAACTCAGTTCCTTATCTTTGCCTTTTTTAATATTATGATTCTTGTCATCTCCAACTAATCATAAGTCATCCTTTGCAGTAAGAATGGGTAAGAAAATCACTTCCAGCTCAGCACCACATAAGCAACCAAGAGAGAGGACCGGAGAAGACGGTGAAGAGGGAAAAATAAAAAAGAAAACACGTTATAAACCCAGTACAAGAAACGAAGAAGAATCTGAATTGAGTTAAGTAAGACGAGTCAAATTAGGGTGTTCGGAAAAAAACAAAAAAGAATAATCTCTAGAAGGGAGAGAGGAAACGAGTTCGAAAATGATCGTAAATAGTGAGGAAATTCCAAAGTAAATCTATTAGATATGAAATGTGCAAAATGCGAAGATGATGGGAAGTATCTCTGAAAAAAAACAAACAAGAGTAACCATATAATCACACCAAATTAAAAAAAAAAAAAAAAAACATTCAAATTGCGAACGACCACACATATAGAAGACAACCCACCTATCATACCTGTCCTCCTCTTGCATCTTCATGTTTTTTGAAATGAAGAACCAAATGCCATATCCTATTATCACGTGTTGTGACACTTTTAGCCCATTCATCGTATTACAACTTTGATTTCCCAGATTTTTCTTAAAAACCCAAAAAAAAAAAAAGATTGATTTTTAAAAAAATCTTTAAAAATGATATTAGACATGTCGGAACTGATTGTCCTCTCATTTCATGGTAGCGTGTCTTGCTCTTACAAATTAAACCAAAGAAGAGTACTTTGCTGAAAAAAGTCTATAGCATTTGGCCACATATATAGGATGACTGTACTGGGCTCTACAATCTTTTAAAAAGTTTGCAGCATTTTTATGGTGGGTTCTCAGCAGTTCAGATCCTTCTTCATCACCTGTACAGCGTTCGTTGCGTCGTCGTCTTCTTTTTCCCCGTCGCCTTTTTTTCCCTCTTCATCACCTTCTTCGCCGCTCATCCCATCTTCTTTGGTTACGTGGAGCTGAGTTGGAGGTGCCATTCTTGCCACAGAGGATGACTCAATTAGTTGGAAATGACAATGACCATAATATAAAAAATACAAAAATTAAGGGACCAAGTCATAGGCAAGTCAAAAATTTAGGGATTGAGTTGTACTGAGGTATAGTTAAGGACTGAATTATAAGTGAGTAAATAGTTGAACTTTTCTCTTTTATTTTTAAGGACTGAAAAATCTGATTGTTTAAGGGGGTGTTTGGCAAAACCAAAACCTAGATTTCAGAATCACTTTTCCACAAAACGAGTAACCTCCTCCACATATTTACTTCGTAATCCGTAAAAACACTTCTGAAACCATGGTTTGGTTTTATCCAAACACCCCATGGGAAATAGTGTTGACTATTATTTTACTTGTAAATTTCTTTTATGTAAATGATAAATACTCGTAGTTTGACCGATATATTTGTGTTACATAGATGATAAATTATTTGAGAGTAGCCTTCTTTTACAAATTAATTTATGAAGTTGGTCTTTTAGTATAATTATTTTTTTCCTATTTTTTCCAAATGGGGATAAAATGAAATTTTTTGGGGACTTAATTGTATAGAATTATGAAATTTGTGGGTCAAAGAATAATTAAAAGAATTTAAGAGAAAATAATAATACAAAATTTATATTTTTACAATTTATGGCCAAGGGCAAATACGAGCTTTATCTTCAGTTGAGAATTTGAGCTGTGCTGATATGTTTTCAATATTTTTAATATGGTTGAGCTTGAAAAATAGGAGAAAAATGACTTTTCAAATTCGGGAGGGTAGCCCATTTTTATTTTATTTAATTTTTTTAAAAGTCATCCTATCATCTAAATAGTATTTGGATAAAAACCAAATTATAATTTTAAAAATAATTTTTATGATATACGAACTAAATATATAAAAGAATTTGTTCTGATTTAAAAAAATACTTTTTTAAAAGCATTTTTGGAATGTTCCAAATAACCCTATCACTGAGTGCTTAGATAGCCTTTTATTTTAATAGAAACAAAATTTAAAATAAATCTTATTTGCATAAAATCAAATAAATAATATTATAAATGACAATAACAAATTCTAAACTTATAAATATATTCTCCACAGTACTGGGCAAATTCTACTTAACAATGGGAAACATATATATATATATATATTTATATATATAATATTCAGAATACAAGTTTTTCCACTAAAAAATAATGAAACAATTAAAACCCTAAGTTAAAGCTTGACTAATGCAAATCCAAGCTGATCATCAAATCTTCTAAACGACCATAATTGAACAACATCACCAACTTGAAAATTATTACACTTCACAATATCGTACCAATGATGAGTCAGATTATACGTAAAACAGCCAGTCATTGACCATCTTTTCAAAACTAGGTCAAACTCTTCAAGATTTGGATCCAAAACCAACACAGGAATGCCCTGAAGCTTCTTAGTTTCTGCATCTTTCGCCATTAACAACTCTGATTCTTGAGGTTTGAGAAAATCTTCAGCTTCCATCAAGATCTTGTTCTTTGGAAACGAAAAGCGATCATTGGTTTTACACAAATCACTCTTGTAAAGCTTCTTCTCTATTATCATTCTGATATTATAGCCTCCATTATCGTCGATCCTTTTCTTGAGCTTCCATGGCAGCATCAATGGCGAACGGGTAATCAAGTCCAGCAATTGTGGAGGTTTCGATCGATTCTTCTTGTTTACAGGAAGAAGTTTGAATTCAAATGGTGAGATACGATCATTTGATGATCCTTTAAATGAAGGAGAAGTGTTATTTTCATCAAGAATCTTTCTCTTTTTGTTGGTTCTCCAGCTTTGTTCTTCTTCTTCTTCTTCCACTTCCATCATCGTCTTTCTTGATATCTGATTCTCGGTGATAAGCTCTGTTTGAGACATATCGATCTCTTTAATTATCTCTCTCTCTCTCTCTCTATGATTCTCTTCTTCTCTATGCTTTTCACTTTATTACTCAGTTCTCTTTTATCTCTCAGTGAGGTGTGTGAACTTCAAGTATGAGGCTTGTCCCATATATATGTATATGGAGTAAGGGAGATAGAGATGGGAGGAGAGAGAATTTAAGAATCCATTTTCACACAAATCTTTGGAGGTGATTTGATTGGTTAAAGAAGATTTAGTAGAATTTTTAAAATTTTATCCATACCAATATTTGTTATTAAAAAGATTTATGTGCGAAAATTTGATTGTGAAAATTTGAGTTCATGGATATAAGTAAATGTGCTTATATAAGTTTTATCCTTGATTCAATATTAAGAAGAAATTCACTATTTAATATATGACATTGAGATTTTATTTTAATAACAATAAAAGTATTTAGATAATTTTATATTTAAGATAATTGCATATTATTTTAAAAGTAAATACATAGAAAAACATATTTTAAAACAAAATTAAGCGTCTATTTTTATGTGAGTATAAATTGAAAAGAAATTGAAAATGAGGGTCCTTAAAATATTTCAGGATTAAAATTAATTAATTAAAAATAAAAATTTAAAATAATTTATTAACAATATAAATAATAAACTTAATGCGATAATCAATATTCAATCTCATTTCATTTAAGTATGCGAAATATAGAACAAAATTAAGTGTCTTCCTATTGAAAATATGTTTTTAAATTGTGAAGATATACTATTTGAAAGAATTTTAAATAAGATATATATATTTCGCACATTTGAATAATAGAGCTTATTCTGGTAAAAAAAAAGAAGGAAAATGAAAATATATCATATTTAATATATGCATATGTATAAAACATCGTTTATATTAAAATTCTTTAAAATTCGTGCGAATAATGTTAAAAATAAAAAATCAAATATTTTTAAGAAGTTAATTCGAATTAAATTATTAAGTTTGCTTTATCTACATTTTCAACCAGATAGTTATTTCCATGAATTTGAGGCTAAATGAACATTAAAATCACAAACAGCTATTTTTTTCCCATAAATTTCCCAAGAATTAGTCAAAACGATGCTTGAGAAAATTGAAAAATGTTTTTAAAATTTTATTAGATAATTGTAAATAATTTTGAATTATATTTATATTTAAACTAAATTATTTAAATATGAATAAAATCAAACTAAATAAAGGTCAATCGGGCATGCAAATTTTTTAAGGAAAAAAATTAAGTAAAGTTGTTTTTATCCATTATATCAAGTTCTCCCATCATATGTTGTCATGTGTCTTTTTTCCTTTTATACATGTGAATTTATAATTAAATGTCATAAAATACTTATATTTCAAAAATAAGACATGTAGTCATGTGTAATTGAAAATTTTGATATAATTGATATAAAAA